ACTCCCCTTCTAACACACCCCAGGATGCCATTGGCCTTCTTGGCCATGAGGGCACATTGCTGGCTCATGGCCATCCTGCTGCCCACCAGCACCCTCAGGTCCCTTTCCTCTGCGCTGCTCTCCAGCAGGACAGTCCCCAACCTGTGCTGGTACATGGAGTTATTCTTTCCCAAGCACCAGACTCTACACTTGCCCTTGCTGAATTTCGTAAGACAAGCACTAGTCCTGAGACCGGCACCAACCTACCTGCTGGATGCCCATTACTATCCAGAAAAGTCTGCCTGAGCCTACCAGACTCCACTTTTCCAGAAAGAGTTGCCTTGGGCTGTCCAGGGGATGTAGCTAGGCCATTTGCAAAGAAACTTTTGCTCAACCCACAGTGTCAGCACTCGCTGGACTCCTCAGCTTGGAGCTGTCTCGTTTGCTGACATCCACTGGGGAACGTGTATGTTGGGACATGGCCAGCACTGAACCGTGCCTCTGAGCACATGTGGTGAACCCGGATGGGCTCTCGCGAGTCCTGCTGTGGCTGCAACACGCCCAAGGCTGCGATTCCTCTAGACAGACCAGTACTCAGCTCTTTAGTCACATGGGAAGCTTTCTAGCAGAATACATGCCCAGGAGCTTACAGAATACCAGAGCCTGGCAGAGCACAAGCAAGGATTTGGTTTCTCATTCAGGCACCTGCTGGCATCAGACCCTGCCATGGATTTCACCCCATGCCTTGGCCCATCAAATGATGATACATCAGGAAAGTGCTGATTTCAAGTGCCTTCTGAAGAATTAAGATACCTCTCATGTGTTTTTTTGCATCACATTGTTGAGGTCTTTCCCTCTAGCAGCTTCCTGCATTGCGCAGTGGCTGCCTGCAGTCTGCTTCCACACACTTGACCCTCCTTGCCCTTCCACGCCTGCCTACAGAGGCAGGACGGGAAATCCTCATCACACCAGCGAGCAGGTTCCCAGCCACAGGCATGCAAGGCGCCCGGAGCGCACGGGGCCCCACCGCCCACTTACCACAGTTCTTGAGGGAGAGCAGGGGGTGGTCAGTGGGCAGTGGCTCTGGCGTCGTGACATCCAAGCCCGCCGCCGCGATCTGGCCGTGGGCCAGTGCATTGTACAGGTCATCCTGATTCACCACGGCACCCCTGAAAAACACAGAGGGAGAGGCCTGAGCTGCTGCTGAGTGATCCTGTGGGCTCCCACAGGGATGCAGACAGGGTGCAGGCCAAGGGGGACAGCCTCAGCAGTGTCACTTGAGTCCCCGGGGCTGCCTGAGTGGACATCAGAGCCTCTGGGCATGCCTGAACCCCTAGCACAATGAGCTGCTCTTGCTCCAGGCTGCTTGCCTTCAGCCTCTCCCATCACTCAACAGTCACCCTTCCATCCACCCCACCGGAGTGGGACATGGTGCTCTGGGGAGGGGACAGAGGCTTGCAGCCCCCTGAATAACTGATCCTGCCTTTGGCTTGATCCCAAGAGATCCCGGAAGGGCGAGAGCAGGCCACACACAGGTCCTGGCAGCTGCAGCTGGACTCTCAGTGGAAGTACATCTCACAGCCTACCAGATCCCCCTGCAACACCCAGCAGGGTGACAATCATCTCCCCGTGCAGGAGACTGGGTTGCAATTACCTGCTCGTGTTGACAAACACAGAGGTCTTCTTCATCCTGCCGAAGAAGGCCTTGTTGCACATTCCCTGGGTGGCGGGAGTCAAAGCACACGTCACCACAATGAAGTCCGACTCTTCGGCCAGCCTGGTGAGCGGCACTGAGTGAAGAAACACAGGTCACTGCTCGGGGACCTCACCAACACCTCTCATCAACCTTCTCAACAGTGCAAGCGAGCACTGCTCTGAGGAGACCTCGCTGACCCGTCTTACAGACGAGGAGACACAAGGTCCAGCAAACACCCAGCGGGCACCATGTACCTCCCTACAGACACAGCTGCAGTGCCTTGTTTCACTTTTGAATTAAGATCAAGCCAAAGAGGAACCCAGCAAGGCTTCATCCATTTACCCCAAAGGAGGCTCTGGCATGTGCTTCATGTTTAGACAGTAAAGCTTGGCAGCAGTTGCTTATATCAGCATTAAAATTCTCTATGTATCCCTGCAGATAATAACTTGTGTCACTTTCACTCCCAGACGTGAGAAGAAAGTGCGAGAGGCAGGAAAGTTCTTGCAACGACTGTGCAAAGAAGTACAAAATGGAAATGTGTGGAGTGAAAACTTAGCACTTGATGCAAGTCTTGAGACTCCAACAAGGCCACAAAAAAAGGCCAAACAGCAGCTAAGACACATTTTCAGGCTTGGCTGGACTGTGACATTCATTTTAAAGCAGGAGGCTAAGGCTGACTGCTAGAAATGAACATCAGCACCTCCTCCCCAGCCTATCCCCTCCTCCCTGCAGAACATCTCGGTACCCTTTAAATGGGGGATGCTCCACAGGACCTTCTCCCTCCTCCCAGGGGCAGCTGCCACTTCCTCCTCCCTGTCCATTACATTCCACTTCCTTGTGGGAATGAATCATAGAATCATAGAATTATAGAATCCTAGAATGTCTTAGGTTGGAAGGGACCTCAGAGATCATCTAACCCACCCCCTGCCATGGGCAGGGATGCCCTTAACCAGCCCAGGTTGCTCAGGGCCTCATCCAACCTGACCTTGAACATCTCCAGGGAGGGGGCAGCCACAGCCTCTCTGGGCAATTTATTCCACAGTCTTGCCACCCTCGCACTGAAGAATTTCTTCCTAAGATCCAATCTAAACCTGTTCTCCTTCAGTTTAAATCCATTACCCCTTGTCCTATCACTGGACACTCTTGTGAAAAGTCCCTCCCCAGCCTCCCTGCAGGTTCCCTTCAGGCACTGCAGGAGTGATAAGGTCCCCCCGTCAGAGTCTTCTCTTCCCCAGGCTGAACAATCCCAGCTTCCTCAGCCTGTCCTTGTAGCAGAGATGCTCCAGCCCCTGGGTCATCTTTGTGGCCCTAACTAAATGAAACTAAATGGAAATCACACATGGATGGACACAGGGAGAAAACAAAAAGGCAAAAGCAGCAAAACCACCCACAAATACAGTGGGCAGTCAGAGCACAGCGGTGTGCAGCCCCTTCTCTGCCTGGGTCACCTGGCTCAGGGCAGGCAGGTTTTCTTCCCTGTCATCCACTGTGGGAGGTGTCTGGGATTCGCCATCCCCTTGTTCACTGCCCCTGCCAGGGTTCATACCAGGTGCACTGAGGGGCTGCCCAGAACCTCTGGCGCATACCCGCCAAATCCATCCTGGTTGACCAACTGACTGACCGATGACCACTATCCCTGCTCCTGCTGCCTTTCTTACCGAACTCAGCATCAAACTCGGCAGCACTCTCCGGTTTTGGGCCACTGCCAGTGTACAAAAACTTCTTAACCCCAAATGGCTTTAGCCGGCGGGCGATCGCTTGTCCTGTGTGTGAGAGAGAAAACTGTGTGGCCGCTGTACCAGCTCCCACACGAAGCATGCTGCACCAGGGCCAGCCTCGCGCCACTGTGGGA